ATGAAGGATAGGGGATGAAGGATAGGGGATGAAGGATAGGGGATGAAGGATAGGGGATGAAGGATAGGGGATGAAGGATGGGGATGAAGGATGGGGATGAAGGATGGGGATGAAGGATGGGGATGAAGGATGGAAATGAAGGATGGGGAATGAAGGGTAAATGAAAACAAACACATGAATCCCAAAAGTTAAGGCTCCTCTGGCACAACACGTGCAAATGAACATGTGCTGCTACCTGTGACACCTTCAGGACAACCCACCTGGAGCAGAGAACTGTTTGACCCCGGTGAGCTTGGCTTTGTCCCACACCGTGGTCAGGGAGCAGCCCTTGGGCACGGTCCAGTCCCCGGCCCTGCCCCTGTCCTTGTCCTCAGCAGTCTCATAAACCTCCACGTGCGGCGGCTTCTCCGTCAGGTTCTTGCTGTAGTGGCTCAGCCCGTACTGGGCGATCTGGATGGGGTAGAAGTAGCCCTGGGGCCCCCACTGGGTGGAGAGGGGAACTCCTGGGGGAGGAAGGAGAGGGAGCAGTGGTCAGCACCTTGCCAAAACCCACAGTGCTGGAGCTCTGCCGAGGCCTCCTGCAGAGCCACCACTCCTTTAGCTCCAGGAAATGGAGTTTTGAAGTGTCACCATTGGAGGAACATCCCGGTCAAGGAGTGAACTGTTCCCTTTTCCACCAAGATCCATAACTAGTTCAAACTCAGCCTTTTGGAGTGGCAGAAGAATCCTTATCATGGGCTTCCCTACATTCACAGACTCACGGAATGGTTTGGGCTAGAAGGGACCTTAAAGCTCATCCCATTCCATTCCCCTTCCACTAGACCAGGTTGCTCCAACCTGGCCTTGGACACTTCCAGGGATCCAGAGGCAGCCACAGCTTCTCTGGGCAACCTGTGCCAGGGCCTCCCCACCCTCACAGCCAGGAATTCCTTCCAGTATCCCATCTAACCCTGCCCTCTGGCAGTGGGAAGCCATTCCCCTTTGTCCTGCCCCTCCATCCCTTGTCCCCAGTCCCTCTCCAGCTCTCCTGGAGCCCCTTTAGGCCCTGGAAGGGGCTCTCAGCTCTCCCTGGATCCTTCTTTTCTCCAGGTGAACCCCCCCCAGCTCTCCCAGTCTGGCTCCATCCTCATTCCATTGTCACTGGAGCCTCCCACTTATCTCAAAACACATTTTCAAAGCCTGAACAGATTTTTCCCCCCTACTCCCGAGAGCAGTTAATCCCCAAAACGCTTTTCCATCCCCGCAATCCCTTTAACGTCAGTAAATCTTTGCAAATTAAGTGCATCTGTTATTGGGAGATTTTTCTAAGAGTTATTTGCTGCTCAGAGAACGATTTACCCTCAGCCACAAATCCCTCCCATTACCCAGCTCTCCTGGGAGCATTCCTGCCTGGAGTGGTGCCTGCAGGAGCCAGCAGGCTCTCCAGGAAGGATTTGCCCTAATTCCACCCTGCAAAGCTGTCCCTTGTCTTCATCCCAGCCTTCCCTGGGATTGTCCCAAAAGCCTGTGGCCTTGCCAAGGTCTCTCCCTTAGTTTGGGCTTTGGGTGATTTTAGATCTAAAACAACCCCCTGGAGGCACCTCAGAGGATTCAAGCAGGAAAATCACAGAGTTCATCATCTGCATCCTGATTTATGGGTTTTTAATGAGATTTTACGGGTTTTGACAGGAAAACCCCTGGGAGGAGCTCAGTGTCACACAAAACTCCCACCCTTCATCAAGATCCTTGGGATGCACCTGCAGAAAACCCTGTAGAGCTCTACCTGCCCTTCCCAGCTCCCAGGATTTGGGTGGAAAATCCAGGAAGTGCAAACAAGCTGTGTGGAGGAGTCTCATTTCCACATGTTCCTCCAGAAGCAAACACAGGATATTTAAAATAAGGTTAAATCCTAAAGTCCTGAATTTTCTGTGGAACAAATTCCCGACCTCTAAATACAAATCCAAAGTGGGAACAGATCACCAGGTCCTTCCTGCAGGAAATCAAGGACGTTTGGCACTGAAAGGGGAAAATCAAGTTGGCATTTGCACCATTTCCCCCTTGGCAACGTCAGGCTCAGGAACCAATTTGTTCTTCAAGGTGCAACAGTGAAAAGATGACTTAAATTAAATATAAAAAGATACATTTTCATTGTTTTCATACATTTCTTGGGGCTAATGATTATCACTGATGGGATAAACCATCCCAGGAAAGGTTTGAATATTCCATCTTATGTGAGCTGCTGAAGGCTCATTAATGCTGAGCATTTCCAGTTAAAGGGACATTCACTGGGAATGAAAGATGGAAAAAAAGAAGGAAATTTGCTATAAAAGCTTCACTTGATGTTCATCCAACCTGACAGGGTGAAATTCTGCAGGACACAGGATGGAACAACCCCTTGGGAGAGAGAGGAGGGAACACAGAACATGAGGGGTTCTCATCATGGAATGGTTTGGGTTGGAAGAGAATTAAAACCCATCCCATGCCACCCCCTGCCATGGGCAGGGACACCTTCCCCTATCCCAGGCTGCTCCAAGCCCCGTCCAACCTGGCCTTGGACACTTCCAGGGATGGGGCAGCCACAGCCTCTGGAATGAGGATGAAAGTTAAAGGAATAATCCCACAGGACTGCGAGAACTTCCAGGGCTGGGATGGTGCAAAGTAAGAGCCTAAAGGTGTCTGAGAACCTGGTTTAATATTAAAATTCCTTCCCTAAAAAACTGGTAAGAGAATTGGGATTGTTCACCTGGAGAAGAGAAGGCTCCAGGGAGAGCTGAGAGCCCCTTCCAGGGCCTAAAGGGGCTCCAGGAGAGCTGGAGAGGGACTGGGGACAAGGGATGGAGGAGCAGGACACAGGGAATGGCTTCCCACTGTCAGAGGACAGGGTTAGGTGGGATATTGGGAAGGAATTGTTGGCTGGGAGGGTGGGGAGGCCCTGGCCCAGGTTGCCCAGAGAAGCTGTGGCTGCCCCTGGATCCCTGGAAGTGTCCAAGGCCAGGCTGGATGGGGCTTGGAGCAACCTGGGCCAGTGGAAGGTGTCCCTGCCCATGGCAGGGGGTGGCACTGGATGGGCTTTAAGGTCCCTTCCAACCCAAACCATTCTGGGATCCTTTCCCACCCTCTTTGCTGCATTCCCAGAGCTCTGTTGCCTTCCCCACCCAGGCTCTGGCACCACATTTAAACCACAGGCTGCAAACCCCCAACATTCCTGGACAACCAACCCCATTATCCAGTGTTAAACTCCCTGGAGCCTCAAGGGCTGAGCAGGGAGCAGCTCCACAGGCCCCTGGTGTTCCCGAGGCTGCTGTTCCCAACCTGCCTCTCCATCCCTTCCTTCCCAGGTGTAACGAGGACGAGAGTTAAAAAATAACAATAAAAATGTGAGAATAACCTCAAACTCCCTCCCCAAAATTCCATATCCTACATGTCTCCTCATGTGAACCTTCCCAGCCAATTAACTCCCAGCCCCAGCAGCTCCTGCCGTGCCCATGTGATGGGAAGAGCCGGAATCCACACCCTGGGAGCAGCACAAGAGGCAGGAGAATTAATGGGTTTTATTCCTTAAGTGAAAGTTGGTCTTTAATTTATGAGGGGTCACGGTGGCACACTCTGTAAGTGCTTCACAAAGTCATTAATTTTTTAATGGGAAGCCAAGAAGAATTTTCTGCCATCAAATCTCCGCCGAGCCGTGGGAGGACCCCGAGGGTTAATTAGTGATGGCTCAAATTGGGAAGGTTTGACTGCATCTCCCTGTTATCCAGGGATAATCCGGGGGCTGGAGAGCTGCTTGACCCTTGGGCCGTTCTCCAAAACCTCCTCCCACGGATTTAACCCCCAAAATTAAGGTGCCTGTGAGCAGCTGGGCTGTTCCAGAGGTGCCAGCAGCACTCAGCCCATGGATTTATCCGTGTCCACAGGGAAGCAGGAGCCTCCTCAGAAACCAAGGCCAGGCTTGCTGGCCTTCTAAAATGATTTTAAAATTTAATTCCGAATTTAAATTTTAAAATAATTTTTTTAATCTGTAGTTTTATTTTTTGTTTTTTAAAAAAAGTAATATTTTAACGCTTCGTACCATAAAATAATTGTGGCTCCCTGAGAGACTCAAGTGTCAACAGCGATGCCAAACCCTGGCAGCAGCACTGCCAGAGCAGTGTCCCAGCACCTCTGGAGTTCACTGCAACTGGGAAAACTGGGAATCATCATGGAATCACTGAATGGGTTGGGCTGGAAGGGGCCTTAAAGTCCATCCAGTGCCACCCCCTGCCATGGGCAGGGACACCTTCCATTAGCCCAGGTTGCTCCAAGGTCATCCAACCTGGCCTTGGACACTTCCAGGGATGGGCAGCCACCCTATGCAGCTGGGAAGACTCGGTATGAGGTTGCCCAGAGAAGCTGTGGCTGCCCCTGGATCCCTGGAAGTGTCCAAGGCCAGCTTGGATGGGGCTTGGCACAATCTGGGATAGGGGAAGGTGTCCCTGCCTGTGGCAGGGAGTGGAATGGGATAAGCTTTAAGGCCCTTTCCACCCAAGTCTAGGACTGATTCTCTGATCCACTCCAACCTTTTTACTGGACACCAACGTTTCCCTCACAAGTTTTCCCTTCTCCACCCTCAGATCCCCCCCCTACACTTTGCACCAAACCACCCCGGGCTGTTCTCCCACCAACCCAAACTCCAGATGGCCTTGCAGAGCAAATCCCAAGCAGCATTTCCACACCAAAGGGGAAGAAAACACTCCACCCACCTTCAACCCCGCTGATGCACTTGACCCTGTCGCGCACCTCGACGTTGTAGCCCTCGAAGGACATGAAGACCCCGTCGGGGTGGTAGGGAGCCCGCTGTGTGTATACTTTGGAGTAGCTATGAGAGAATTCAAACCTGTCATAACCATCGTACTGAGCAATTTTCCCATAAACCTCAAAGTATTTCTCTACCCAGCTGAAGGGCAGGAACACCTCGTTGCCCTCCCTCCTGCCCTTCACGGTGTGCTCCTCGTTGATCACACAGTCAATCTCCTCGTACTTGGGCGCGGGGGCCCTGCCTGCCCCGGCCACGGGAGGGGCTTTCTGCTGCTCCTGGGGGGAGGTCTCCTCACTGTGCTGCCTGGGCTCGTCCTCGGCCATCCCGCGGCGCTCCAGGCCCGGCGGGATCCGTGGGAAGGGGCCGGAGGTGTCCGAGGAGCAGCGGTTCCACAGCAGCACCATCACCAGCGTGAACAGGGCACAGATGACGATCAGAGTCTTGTAGTTGACCCGAGCTGCCAAGCAACGCATATTCACACCATACCTGCAACACAGCGGGCACAGCGTGAGGGGGGCACAGGGCAGCTCCTGGGGGAGCCTTTCCAACAGGAACATCATCCCTAGTGCTCCTGGTGGAGCCTTTCCACAGGAACAGCACCCCAGATCCTCCACCTCTCCAACAGGAACATCACCCTTCGTGCTCCTGCTGGAGCTTTTCCGCAGGAACATCACCCCTCGTATTCCTGGTGGAGCATTTCCAGCAGGAACATCACCCCACATGCTCATGGTAGAGCCCCTCCAATGGGAAAAGCACCCCAGGTGCTCCTGGTGGACCCTTTCCAAAGGAACATCACCCTTCATGCTCCTAGTGGAGCATCTCCAACGGGAACATCACCCCTCATGCTCCTGGTGGAGCCTCTCCAACGGGAAAAGCACCCCTTGTACTCCTGGTGGAGCCTCTCCAATGGGAAAAGTACCCCTTGTACTCCTGGTGGAGCTTTTCCACAGGAACATCACCCCAGATCCTCCACCTCTCCAACAGGAACACCACTCCGTGTGCTCCTGGTGGAGCCTCTCCTGTCTCATGGGATGTCTGGAGAACCCTGGAGAAGTGCCCATCCCTCCCAGCTGCCAGGGTCTTCCCACCCTCCCAAGGAAGAACTCCTTCCCAATATCCCATCTAATTATTCTCTGATATGGTCCAACACCCTCCTGACAGCAATTCCCAGTAATTCCATGTAATTCCCACAGTTAATTCCCGCATTAATCATGATTTACCTCCCAGGAAGTGCTGGACACACATTCCCTGCAAACCACAGTGTCCACCAGGAGATCCATCAGCAATTCCCTCATTCTCTGCTCCCCTGACAGCTCCAACCTCTGGGAAGCCCCAACCCCCCCAGTTTTGCCTCACTGATGTTCCCAGTTTATTATTGTCACATCCCATTCCCAACCCTATTCCCTTCCCTGTGCAAAGAGCAGAGTTTAACAGAGTAACAGAGCAGAGAAAGAAATAAAATCCCAATTAAATTAGAGGAACTGGCTAAAAATGCCTCATTTTTCCTGCTTAGGAATCCCTGGCACTTATTTCCTGGGAGGGAGCAACCAAAGGCAGTTTCTCCATCACAGAATTCGCATTTTCAGTGGAATTCTGCAGCTTCACCAAGTGATTATTTCCAAAGAGAATGTCCTGGACAAGGGATTTTGCCAGGGAATCTTGAACCTTGATGAAATTGCTCCCACAGGGATTTTCACTGAGGAAAAACCACTGAAAATACCACATTTAAATTATATATTTCTATATATTAGCAATAAATCAGTAGAGCCTGAACCTCAATGTTGGGAAATGCAAAGGAACAATGGAAAGTTTTCCATGTTTTCCATAAATCCTGAAGAGCACAGGGAGGGTGGAGGCCACGGAATAGGCACCTCTGGGAGCCTGGGTGTGATCCCACTTTGGGAATATTGCTTTCTAAGGATCAGGATGTTCAATATTCCCACCAGGGGAGGGTGTCCAAGCTGCAGGAATGAGAACAGAGGAGATCCAGGAGATCCCTATTCCTGTGCCTCCTTCTCCTGATCCTTCAAACCAAGCCCTGTCTGGCACCTCATCCTGCAAATACGTCTGTCCCAGCAGAGCTGATGTTTAGACTCTGGAATTAGCCCTGGAAAATGTGTTTGGAACCTCCTGCTCCTTGATTTTCTGCTGTTCAGGGATCACTGGAGCAGCACTGGGGAGACCAAAGGAACCCACAAATCCTGGGTTTATTCAAGTCCAGCCCAAAGGCTGAACTGGATTTTACACCAGAGACTTAAAACTGGTTTTTAGAACACGGCCAGGAATGCACAGAGGCCTGGAATAAAGTCTTTTACCTTTTTATCCCAATTTTTTTACCTTTTACCTTTTTAATCCCAATTTTTTTACCTTTTTTATCCCAAATTCCAGAGTTGATGAACAAGAGGAGCAGAACAGGACGAGAAGTGACAGAAAAGCTCCTTGAGAACAAACTGTGAATTATATTTTAATCCATGACAGTGAATTATTGAAGTCCAGGAGGTGATTAATATTAAATATCGAATAAACAACAGAAAACCACCGGTCCAAGGACAGAACAACTGCTGAGCAGGGAAAACGCTGCCAGGGAATTCTCCCTTGGGGTCAGTGAAGAGCAAAGAGGATTCCTGGAAAAAGGTGGAATAATTCTGTGTTCTGATCTCCCAGATCCTTTGGTTCCCTGCTCCCAACAAACCTGGGATGAGCATCTCCAATAACTGGGATGCCCAAAACAGAACCCACAAAATCCTTGTTGATAAAACAGAATTCGGGGTTGATCCCTCAAAGCAGCTTTTCTTTGGAAGGAACAGAATTCCTGAATATTTCAGTTTCTTCTTCAGGCTCAAGTTAAAAGGCAGGGACGTGGCTGGAGGATCCACATGTTCCTTTGGGAATCCACATCCAAGTGGGAGTGTTTTGCCAGTTAAACCCCACAAACTTCATCCCTAAAGCCAGCGGGAAACGCAGGCGGTGAAATCCTCCTGCGGTGCCAAATTCCTCATTTTGGTGACTTTTTTACAGTAATCCCTGCTTGAAAAATAAATTCCCGTTTTCCAAGCGTTCTAACCCAAGTTTTTAAGGAACAGGGACCACTCTAGGACTTGAGGGATCCAGAGAGCAGCAGCAGGGACAGATCTACACCATTCCCTGTGTCCCCTTGCAGGCCATTCCACATCCCTATGGACACACTCTCTGCTCCAGGGCTTGGGGATCAAACCCAGTTGGTAAAATCTGACAAATTTGGGGGGGTTGTTGATTTTTTGGGTTGTTGGTTTTTTTTCTTTTTTTAAGGGGTATTTCTGTCATTTTCTGGAGCACTTGATCTAATTCCAGCCCTGTCTAATGGAGGTTGAAGTGGTTCATCCTTACAAAGGGTATCCAGGAATCCCCTCCAGGAATTCCTTTTTTTCAAGAGGTAGTAATTGTGTTGAAATAAGTTAAAAAAAAAGTTATTTCTTTGTGTTGCACAATGTTTCAAAACAGTTAATGGAGGGTGGAGGGCACAGTAATGGCTCTTTTCAGTTTGTCCAACAGCTGAAATTTGAAGCTTGAAAGTTCCTTTTACTGTGGCCAAAAAAAAAAAGTCTGAATCCATCCTGTGACTCTGGGCTTGAAAATTTAGGTTAAATCACAATTATCCTAAAAAAAAGTCTCCAACTCTCTTCCACAGCAAGTTTCCCTTCTGCAGCTCAACCTCAAGACACAGGAATTCAACCCCGAGGAAGGAAAGAGCCTCAGAAACAAGGGGGGAAAGGTTTTACTCTACCTGGATATCCTGGAACGTAAGAAATGGAAGTCAGGAGGCGGTTCCCAAAGCGCCACATTTTTCCCACTGGTCCATCTCTGGCCTTCCAACCTCTTCTGCCTCGGTCTTCCGGGCTGGAGATGCCACAAACCTGTTCCTCACGGACTTTTGGGAGCGTAGGAGTCTGGTCCTGCCGCCTCCTTCCACCTCCTGGGAACTGGGAGAGGGACCACTGCGGTTCTGTGGGATGAATGGGGTTTGGATGCTGGGCTGCACTCGGGGGGTGATGCTTTCCTGGCAGGGGTGGGTTCCCAGGGCAGAATTCCAGACTCCAGCCCACGCTCCAGCCCCGATCCCGCGCAGGGATCCGCAGGCGCAGCTGCTCCCGGGCTGCAAAGGGAGATGAACCGACTCCAAACCACCTGGAATCACTACAGAGGCAGAAGAAGAGGCTTGTGTAACTTCCATTTGGACAGAGGAGGCCTTGGATAACGTTCCTGTGCAGGAGGGAGCTCTGCCAACGTGCCAAATCCTCAGTTTTTTATGGAAGCTGAGCAGCTTCCCAAGGTTTGCCCAGTCCCTCCCTCCCACCTCCCTGTGGGCAGAAACTGCTGCTCCAGCTGAGTCCCAGCAGGAAAACCAGCCCTTAAACCCCACAAACCCCAAACACCCCTGTTCTTCCTCTCACAGAATCCTGGGATGGGTTGGAAGGACTTTCCAGCTCATCCCATTCCAGCCCTGCCACGGGCAGGACCTTCCCCTGCTCGCTCCAGGCCCCGTCCAACACGCTGGCAAGGAATTCTCCAGGATAATTCTCCTCCTTAAAAGCCTGGAACCCCCAGGACTGGGAATCTGGTGCTGAACCTCCTCTGCTTTTTAAAAATCCCATTTCACAAAAAGGTGGATAATGGGGGATTCAAACCCCTGGCTCTGCAGCCCCAGCCGTTCCCCAGGGAGCAGCACCGAGGGATGCTCTGCCCTTTTTCCCAGGCATGCAGCAGTTTATTTTCGGCAAATCCATCCAGCAGCACAAACCCTCCAGGAAATCAGCAGAGATTGTTTAATCCTTGACTCTTCAGCTCCATTTGCTGCAGACTTTTCCTTGGCTCCCAACTCGCTACAACGGAGCCGTGGCTGTGGAACGGAGCAGCTTCATCCAACTGCAGCTGAAGCATCTTTGCTTCCCGACTTTCCTGTGCTCCATCTCCCAAACCCCCAGTTTTTTTTCTCCTTGTCTCTTCTTGCATCTTATTTTCCAGGAATGAACCTGCAGGAATTTCCCTGTGACTTCAGGACACTCCGAGCGTCCCCTTTTAACTCAGCAAAGCATCCTTGGAAAACAGGGACATTTTCCCAGAAGCTGCACAACATAAATCCACAGAATCCCGAGATTCACCTATTAATTCTCCTGGAATTCCATTGATGAAATGTTAATAGGAGGAGAGAAGTTCCAACATTCAGCTGTTTTCCTGCAAAAAGTGGCCACGATCCCCTCTGTCTTTCCTGGTTTCAGGTAACAGGGAATGATTTGTGAGGGATGTGGGGTCTTTGATCACTGCTGGGAGCCTGAATTTAATGGATTATAAACTGCCAAGCTCTTCCATGTCACTAAATAATGGATAAATATGGAGATGTATTCACACAAACACAGGGATAATGCACTGGGAGAGCGAGGTAGAACCAGCAGGAAAATATCCTTTTCTTTTCCCAAACAAATTGAATTGTTACTAATTTCTACCTCAAT